CCCTTGTATACATGATAAATGTGTTTGTCATGTTGATGAAAATGCTGTTCATCGATTAAGTGATTATCCTTGTTTTTCAAATAAATTGAATAAATATGAAAAGTATATTTTACAAAAAATTTGTTTTTAAAGTTCTGAAGTTGTCTATTGTGATATACCTACTGTAAATGGACTACTCCATACACGTCTATTAAAAATTGTTATCATTACATTAGTTATTAATTTATTATTAATTGATATTTCTAATTTTGGTTTAATTTAGTTGAAGCGCAAAAAAAAGTAAGTTGACGAGATACATTTTTGATTTCTACCGAACAGATCTACTCAAAATGTCTTCATCCACTTTCAATGATTTTGTTTTTTGGTCTACAGACATTACATAATGTTCTAATAAACATCTGACAAAGATTTGAGTTTTGACTAACTAGAGAAGATCTTGAGATGATTAAAAGCTGTCAAGCCTTTATTTTGCTCAGTAGTAAGGAATATACTCTGTATCAACCCAATTTTTCGATAAGATCCTATTGTCGAGCTTCAGTCAGAAAACTTTGCCTAGATGAATATTATTAGTGAGACTAACTTACGCATACAATTTCAGAAGTTTTCGATCGATTATCTCTGACATATACAAATTTTGAAAATAGTATTAATGGAAAACCGCTGAAGTTCTAAAAACAGAAACGCATATCTCAGAGACACTCGATCGAAAACTTCTGAAATTGTGTGCATAAGCTAATTTCACTAATGATCTTCATCTAGATAAATTTTTTCGACTGACGCTCGACAATAGGACTTTATCGAAAAATTGGGTCCATACAGGAAAGAATTCACTAGAAAATCAATATCTCAACCAAATCTTAACATCAGTATGAACCCTTTGGAGGATATTCTACTCTATCGTTTCACTACAACTGATTATAATATGGATTCAAAAGCTTTTAACCATTTGAGAATGTTCTCTTGTAAGCTATTGAATTTTTCACATATAGAGAACTCAACTAAATTAGATTCCAAAAAGTGAATATTATATATACTACCGATTGAAATAGGTCTATATCTTGAAAGTTTCATATTTTGAAGAGAATATTTGTTCAAAACTTGTGAATTCTTTTTTTATTGAAACTAATCTAGTTGAGTTCTGTATATGTGCAAAGTTTCAGATCAAAATTAGAAAAGACGATTTTACCAAAAACCTGGGGTCTCTAGAAAATAGACATACTAATAATTCGATAGCTTACAAGGAAATATTTTCAGATGTCGGATTTTCTTGTCGATCGAGACGATGTTTATTTGATGATTACTAATGAGTAATACAAAAAAAAATCTAGAATAGTTTAGTTTTCCGGGCCTTCGCTCTTGAAATATCGAAATTTTACTAGGTTTTTCAACAAAGAGCTGTGCTCTCTCAAATCATGTGAGGGTTTCAAATTCAAGCTTTTTATGAAGAAAGCTCTCACTAAGCTCAATGCATCAGACAAGTTGTAACTTTTCTATTATCTCATATTCTAAGACATAGAATATTTGAAATTTTCTCATGTGTAAAAGTAAATTTTGTTCACATATTTATATCTTCGAACAGGAACACTAGCTTGAATGGTTCAACTGTTATTTTTCAAGCCTTTTTCCACTCAATTGATGAGCTGTTTTGTATGAATAGTTTTTGGTCTTCTTGATTTTGCGATTTAACGCCAATTGAAACAGTGTTTATACTGACGTAGCGAGCTATCAATTATATTTTAATGAACCTTATTCGCTGATAATTTTACCATTCTCGTAGCTTTTTCTCCTCTTTTCTAGTGGAAAATATAGCTAGATCTTGTTGATGGTCACTCTTTATAATGTAGAAATCCATGAACAGAAAGTAAAAAAAAAACTAAGAACTTATGAGACCAATGTCGGGCATTATTGTTTACTTAAATCATATAAAATAAATTGGTTATTGCACTTAAGAAGTAGTAGAGAATGACCTTTCAAAATCATGTGTTCGAATGTTTTTTGAATAATTTATGATAAGAATCTTCTCGAGACGAACAGTTTTCACTAATAAAGAAAAAAGATTCTCAGTCATCAATCAGGTGAATTCTTTATGGAGAGCTTTGACAATGGTACTCTGAAGGCATATATCATTATGTTTTGATTCCTAATAGAATCAGTCAATAGAAAAATTTCTTCTCTTTCGAAACTAGTTTTTCAATATTTTCTGAAAACTTAAAATTTCTTTTAAATAACATGAAAATCGAAAATATTGAAAATCAGTATAAGTTTACATTGAAACTAAAAATAATTATTATTATTTAAGTAAACATAATGAATTGTACAGATCTTAAGCTCTTTTAAAGTCTTTGAAAATCATTTAGCTGAAATGAGATGTAAAAATTGATTAGTTAAACAAACATCGAAAATAACATCAAATATCAATATGGATGATAACTAGCTCAAAAATAAGAAAAAACATTGTTTAATTAAATTATAAATCGATTGATATTGTCGAGGAGGAATATCATCATCATTTGTAAAATCAAGTTCAATCAAATTCATTTTAGTAAAAGACGATGCTTATTATTATTTATATGTTCAACTAGATCAGTTCCAATAATAACAGGAACTCGAAGATTAAAATCTGTAAAAAAATCCTTTGAATTTTATATCTAATTATAAATCATAATGTAAATCAACAAGTACAATTATTCGACAAATTTTACTTTTATAATTAAATGATGAGGAAATAGCCAATGGAATAGATAAACGAATACATTCTAAACAACGTCAACATTATTCAATTTGATAACGTTTTATAAAACAAAGATCAATAGGTTTTATGAATAGACGATTTCCATTAAATATATCAAGTGATAAAAGAAAAAGTTTGTTGACTAGATATAAGAGCAGCATTTTCTAAAATACCTTTTATTGTTATAAATTAACGTTTCCTCACTAATTAAAGTTCGAGCTAATCGAAGTTTTTGTCGAAATATTTATCAGTTAATAATAAATAAATTTCATTGATTTGTTTTGTTCGTTCATTTATATTAAAATGAACATCGCCTCTTATTATATCACCAACGAAATAAAGTTCTCATTCGACTTTATCTTATGTTTCATTTATTAAACTGTTACCATTACCTATTGTGATTTTTATAGAATTTTAACATGCAAATAAAAGAAAATATAATTGAAACAAGTACTTCTTTTTTCTTTTTTATGGAAATATTTTTTTTTTGTAGTCGGACTACTTTATTAGAAAGAAAAATGTTGACCGTAAATCGGAAACAGTGACAATAATAAATATAAAAATCGTTGGAAAGTTTCAATGATTCTATAGAAAAACAAGTATAAATAAATAAGTCGAGTGTTTTTTTTTTGTTGACGATGCCATCTTTATTTTAATATTCTTATTTTAGATGTGAGTGTCGATCATCCGTGTTGATCGATATTATCTTTAAATATCATTATCAATGTTATTAATCAAGTCGTATTAAAGGTAAAATTATTTAAAAAAAAAACATTTTTGTAAGATATGTAATAAAGTTTGTTTTTATTTACACATTTATTTCTATTATATCCTATTAAATTTAATATTTTGATTGAATCAATCATCTTCCTTTTCCTTGAATGTATTTTTTATTAATTGAAAATACATATATTAATTATATTGCAAGGAGATCCGTATGTTCAAAAAAAATATGTAGGAGCTGTTCGAAAATCTTCTTATCGGTTGAATTGATTATGATATCGGATCTTCAATATCCTTATTATTATTGTTAGACTCTATCTTTGTTCACATCATCTCAAGTTGAACCTCTCCAATGATATTGTTAACATAAATACGTAAACATTTTTGCAAAAGAAAAACTTCTAATATTTTGAGTGAGAGAATTTTTTGAGGAAGTTCACTTCTAACTTTTACATTTCATAGTTCGATTTTTAACAATTTCTAATAGCAGATGAACTGGTATGATCGTGTTTTTGTTCAAGTATTGTTTTATTTAACAGGTTGTAATATTATTTATAACTCTGAAAAGCACAGGACACTTTATTTTATAGGAAAATCACAATCAAGAAAAAGTTTTTCATTGAAAATTCGACATGATTCTCTGAAAAATGGGACTTTTTTTATATAAATAAACTGCTAGATAGTATTGATTAGCCGTTTAATTGTCTTTTCTTACTAATAAATAATGATATTTTTAGATTTTCTCAGCTGATGACGTGATTCTTAATGAGCTTCTTAGTCTCATTTGTCTAAATAAAAATGAATATATATTCGAATTATTTCCAATGAACGTTTTTATCTTGATATATGATTGTATATGAACGAAAATAATTTGTTTTTTAGAGAATAATTTAGATATGCATCGAATTGGACTGATTACTTTATAATATGACCTTGATTTCATCTTTAAATATTATTTTATTTATTAAAATATATTATGATGATTAATGTTCTATAATCAAATGTAACCTTACATTTAGTATTGACGTCTTATTTGTAACGTTTATACATGAAGGAGATGTGTGTTTTTTTTTCGAGACTTGTTTAAATAAAATATATGTTAATATTGTTTTTAAATATAATTAAGTAAATAATAAATATCTATTATAATATTAATATAGAGATAATTATTTAGCTATGAAAACTGTTCGATAAGTCTTGTTTTAATAATAGAAGCAAAAGAACAATATATAAAAAGAGAGAGAAAAAAAAACTAATGAATATTTAATTATCAAGTTCAATGTCAAATACTCGTCTATTGTTTTTATGTAAGATGAATAATTAATTAAATAAATGAATGAATGATGTAAGAGAGAAAAAAGAATAACTAATCCTACAATGAGATTAACGCATAGATTTTATGTTTAATTATTGCGATATTGTGTTTGAGTAAATGAATTTGCTGAATATGGTCCAACTGTTGGAATAGAATTCATTGGCTAAATAAATATATAGATAGATATAGATATAAAATAAAATGAATATTACTCTTACTGATGAAATATTTTGAAGTTCTTCACAATCAGTTTCTTCACTTGATGATGAATATGATGAACGAGATGACGATCGTTCAGTATTTGTATTAGAAGCTTTTGATGACAATGGTCGAGATTGTTGAACCTGTTGATTAGGTTGTGCTGGATATTGCATAACAGTTGGTGGTTGATAATATACTGTTGAAGGAGCTGGTTGAGATAAGCCTGATGATTGTATATATTGATCTCGTTGAATAGTTGCTTCTAATGCAGCTGTTAGAGCCGTATTATTACTACTTCTTATATGTTGAAGAATATCATTTGGTAATCTATCAGTATAAACTGGTTCAGGATAAGAAGTAGCAGCAGAAGCTAAATGAACTGGAATTGGATAACCTTGAGGTGCACCACCTGCAGCATATTCAATATTAAATCGACGACCTTGTAAATCAGGAATTTGACTATTTAAAAATAAATAAATAAATAAAATAAAAATTTTTGTTATTTTATTATTAAATACTTAAGCATATTAAGTAAATTTTCTCGGCTTAATTCAGGTGTATCTGTAAGTGCCGATGGTCGATAGATTTCATTTGAAAGAGGACTTGAATAGGATAGTCTTGAAAGTATATCTTGTTCATTTATTACTGGTTGATAACCTGCCATTTTTCTATTCTTTCTTTTTGAATTATCAAATTCTATAATAAAAATAATATTTAAATAATTATTTAAATATATATATATTTTTTTTTAAATTAATAAAAAATTATTTATAAATAAATCGAATAAACCTTTTCTATAAAATTGATTATTATCTTGGGATGATATTAGATTTTTATAAGGTATTTGTTGCATTTTATTAGATTGAACATCTTGATGATTTATTATTGATTTTGAATATTCTACTGAATTTTTATTATCATTCTTTAGATATGAATGGGATCGATGATAGATAGAAGACGTTGAGGGCTCTATCTTAGATGATTGGACAACATTCGATGGAAGAAAAACATTTCTTTTATGAATTTCTTCGTGTTTTTCTTCGGATAAAATAGGAATTCGAAGAGATGGACGTTGTTCAATAGATTGACTTGTTTCATTAAAAATTTGTTGATTAAGATGTTGTTCTTGTTGGTCGTGTTGTTGTTGTTGTTGTTGTTGTACTCTAACAGACAAGTCTGGTTTAATATTTCGTCCAATGAAGTTAAAAACAATTGGCTCTTGATGATTAATGTTGTTAGGTAGTTGATCTAATTGATCATTGACAGCTTGTCGAATAAAATCTTCATCTGGTGGAGGATCATTTTGAGGATCATATTGAACTTTAACAATAATTGGTGGACCATTATCATCATCATCATAATAATTATCAATAAAATCTACATCTGATTTCGTATTATATATTGATTGTATATCTGATATATCATCTTGTTTTATCTGATTTGATTTAATTGTTTGAGCATCTGTAGGTGCAATAGTAGTAGCAAATAATTTAGCTTTTGGAGTTGCACAGGGTCCTAAGATTCTTGATAATGGAGCCATTGTATGAGATCTTCGTTCGTTTCTAATACGACTTTCTAGAAAACCGACTGACTGTGAATTAGACAATGGTGCAAAACGTTTAACTGTTTGATTTTGTGAAGTCGCTCGTTGAGAATAATATTGAGTCTTATTAGAACCAATTGGTTTAGGTGAACGAAGTGTACCTTAATTAAGTTAATATTATATTTCAATTAATATTTGAAAAAAAATAAACATACGTTTTCTTGAAGATCTTTCAATATTTCGTGGTATTGTTGCATTATTTAAAATTGATATATTATTTGATGATGCAAAAATAGATCGATTTCGATTTAATTTATAATTTGGAAATAAATTGGACGATTTAATATATTTTTTTTCTATTGGTTTTTCATATCGATTTTGATTTTGTATATATCCATAATTATTTATAAAATTCTTTTTTGATTGATGATTAAAAGCATAGGGCATATATGATAGGGGATACATATTTATAATCAAAGATAGACTATTTTAATGTTATATCTGCCTTTTATTAATGTCTTTATCAAGAAAAAAAAATATATCAAGGATAAACAATAGTGATATTATCAAGTCAATGTTATAGAACATATTCATAACCTATTGAATATGTGTTTATACAAAGAAAAATCACCTTGAATTATTTTTTACTAGAATGCTATTGTCATTGCCTTCATTTATCTACCTGTATCAAAAATGATTCTATGACGATTTCATAAAAAAAAAAAAAAAAAACCAATTTATATATAAAATAATAAGAAAAGTTAAATCGAAATAAAATTTTTATTTTTTGATGAATATTAATTAAATTTATTTAGTTTTTCAATCGTTAAAATAAATAAAATCTTGTTTATAAATCATTAAAATAGAATTCGTTATAATATTTATATTAAAGATATTTTCTTATTTAATCAAATATATATATTTATTTGTCTTGTAGTATTAAAATATATATAGAAAGTTTTTTATTATTTTGAAAATGATAATTATATTGAGAAAAATTTGTTTACATTAAAAAAAAACAAAGCAAAAGAGATTATATTCTAAAGTTTAACGAAAAAGAATTTCATTCCTATATTATTCTTATCTTAATTATATTTCTATTTAAATAATAAAAAGTTAAAACTAAAATACATACCGAATTAAAAAAAAAAACAAAACCAAAATATATATTGTAGACAATAAAATTTTTGGTCGATGGTTTAAATCAGCTTTATAATGATTAATATACACACAGATAAATATGTATATTGTGAATATAAAAGAAAAGAATGCGTATTAGTTTACAGCTCAATGCTCTTTACGAATAGTATGTTTTCGATTAACAATGGATATTTGTCATTATCGTTTTCATACGGATACATTTATATATACATATATATACATGTGTTATACGCTTGACCGATTTTCTTATCAATCATACGAGTTATAGTAAGAATCGATAGACGATTTTATATGCTTGTTTAGATAATCTTACTTATTTATGTTATTGTTTTGAGATTAATCATCGATTATATTCAAAACAGATTTTTTTTTCTCTCTATGAGACAAAAAAAAAAATAAATATTTATGTTTAACTATTGATTGATATAGTTAACCATGAAAAATCATTGAATATCAATAAATTAGTCAACATTGATGTTCAATATTTTATTTCAAAATATATTAAGATAAATTATTTATATATATATATATATATTCATCAATTTATTGTGCTTTTTCGAATCTTTCTTTTTTGTATTTCAACGATTATAATTTATTTATATTCATTGAAATAATCGATAAAATTCAAAAAAAAAAATAATATCTTTTTTTGGTTTCGAATAATAATCAGATAAGAAAGAAAATTTAATAATGTTCAATTGAATTAAAATCTATCATTAATCATATATTTGTTTTTATTTTTCAAGTTTAATAGATTTCTATCATATATGATATTGTTTACAGTTGCAATCTAATTCGATAGATAAATAACATGTTTTATTTTTCTTTTTATTCTATCCTTCTCATATTCATTTTTTTCTTCTGTTTATTGATGATTTCGATTTGGTTTGGTCTTGTCATTATCGATTTTGATTAATCAATCGTTTTAAAGCATATTCGATCACCTTTTATCGATACTTTCTACAAAATTTATCGTAAACAAAAAAATAATATAAAAATAAACTTGAAATAATATAACTAAAAATTAAAATTATTTTAGATAAATATTAAAAAAAAAACACAATTTAATTCTATATTGAATTTAGAATTATTTTCTTCTATATACTACTATACATGTATTCATTAGTCATATTGATATGTGAATTACATATGGTTTTTGAACATATTGCCTTTGACTTATGATGATAGAATCTCGATCAATACCAATCTATTAAATATATGCCACTGATGTGTATTCCAAGGTGATTTATAATGCAGGTTAATCATAAACAGATGTGAAAGTATCTTTATGAGATAGTTGACAACGATCAAAATGAATAATAACAATTCAAATGACTTCGACTCAAATTGAACTCGAACTGATTAAAAGCAAAACAAAAATGAAGCGAATCTAATAGTAACTAGTAAAATTTTATGATAGAAAATCGATCACAAATTCAATGATTGATCATCGATATTGTCTATAGTTTTGATGATTTTTGTGATAAATAGAAAATAAATTGTTCAAAATGAAATATTTCATTGTTATACACACTAATAAAAAATCGTATATTTCAACATTGACTCGGTACTTTTAGAATAAACAAATTTTTTAAAGAAATTTCTAACTGATTATCGATTAAAATAAATAAATAAATATTTATTAGAGAAAATATTAAATCTAAAGTTGTTTTTCTATTCGAAATAGTCAATATATTCAATAGATACTGAAAAATAATAACAAAAAGGTATAAAACTAGTGCGTTAAAAAATCTTCTAAATATTGGTTTTAAATATTTTAAAATCTTATTAATAAATTATAGATTGAAATATGATTCTAATAACATTATTTTATTATTTTTACTTTTGTTTAAATAATAATAAACAATACGATCAAAACATAAAAGATAAGATTGATTTGAAAATATTTATTTTTCAATGTTTTTTGTCTATTAAATATAATTTGTAACTCGACTTGTCCACGTAACACGACACTTTGCTAATTAAGTTTCGAAAATTTTTTTGTTTCGAATTCGACAGATCTGATTGATTTTTTAATGCTGATTACCAAATTGATATTTATTTTGTAAAAAAAATAAAATTTTGACATTCAAAAACCGAATTTTAAACTTTTCAATAATCATATTTATAAAATTTTTAACGAAGAAATTTTTTCAAAACATTTCGAGAGACACATCATTCGATGCAGAATTTCATTCTCTACTAAATTTTGACTTTCGTAGCTAAGGACAACTTCTAGACTCTTATACAGTTCCTAATTTATCGTATAGTTTTTTGAGCTTCCATGTCGATATATCTATCTGATTCTTGTGTAGAACAATTATATGCACGGTAATAATCAATATTTATGAAAATCAAACATATCTGATCACATTAAGTATCTTAAAATTGATCGACAAAAAAAACTGTGTCACAGTGTTATGTTTGTTTTTTGCATTTTTCTTTTTTATCTAAGCAAAAATAATTGAGACAAAAACTATTTTAGCGTTTAAAAAGCTGCCTGTAGAAGTGTTTCATTTGGAGAATTAGTTTCATAAGAAATTGGAGTTTTATAAGTGACCCTGAAGAAAAAGGGTTCTTTTTTTATGTCACAGCGGTATGCAATCAAAAATTCATTCTGAAAGCTCGAGTGTTTAATCAAAAAACGTCGTTGTTTTTTGAAATAGATAGAGCACGATAATCTGCGTTGAATGGCGTTTAAATTAACTTTCTATCTCTCATAGTTTCCGAGATAATTAAAAAAATTGTGTCAAAAATGTCACAACGTTACGTTTGAACAAGCTAAAATATCTGTTTTCATAGCTTAAATATGATCAACAGAGCAAAAAAGAGACATTAATGTATATCACCAACTGACTTGGATAGAAACGAACATAATTACTTAGCTTATGGGCTTATAATATAAAAATAAAAAATCTATTTTGTCACTATAAAGACCTCGAGTGTATTGAGACTTTTTATGGATTATTATTCATACTGATTCCATCAAGATTTTATTTAGAATCTTTCGTTTTTTTTTTTTTTGTTTCTCGATTTATATTTCTTAATAGTTCTTTAATTGAAAACTAAAAAGAAAATTTCAATAAAAATACTAATGCTATATGACACGATTTCTATTGGAAAAAAAAAATATTTATTTCAATTAAGATATTCAATTTTTCTTTTCTTAAATCTTACTTATTGATAAATTTCTTAACAATAAATCATAGAATGTTTTTGAATATAAATTTTCCTCTCTCTATATATATATTAAATCTAAATATGATTATTGAAAGAAAATCAGCATTGTTGATAAGACATTATAGAAGAGAATATGTCACTATAAAGTATGACACGGAAATGAGCTTTTTTTTCAAAAATATTTTTCAATTAAATAGAAAATCATACGTTTTATTATAGATAATAAGAAATACTTCAATTATGTACTTAAATATTCATGATGAATATCATTGTTTTTTTTTCAAGTTGACAACTCATTTTTTTTTAACCATATTTCAGTTTTTTTTTTATTGGATCCTAGACATTTATTTTCATTATTAAATAAAATGGCTTAGCTTTTTCTTTTTTAGTATCAAGATGATTATTTTTAAAATGAAATACATATAATTAATATATGACTTAAAATAGTTTATTGAATAAATATTCAATAATAAGAAATAATTTTCTATTGAAATTGTTCTTTAATAATATAGTTTTATATATGAATATATCAATTAAATAATTTTCTTTTTTAAGATGTCAAGTTAATAATCGATTATAATTAGTTCGAGATTATTTTATAGGAATGAATTATATTAACATGACTATTTTACTTTCTTTACATGAAATTATTTTTAAAGTTTTTTTTTTTTTTATATGTTTGTTAGGTTATTGATAGAATAAATAACACAGAATTCTATTCGATTTAAATTAGAGAAAAAAAAAAGAGATAAGAAGTCAAGCAGTGATGGATCATGTTTATCATACGAAGATATTTATTAACTAATTTATATATTGAAATTTGTCAATATTCTATTGTTAATATAATAAGAAGAAATAATTATTTATTATATTTTTTTATGATATATGATTAAATTAAAAATAATTTTAAAATAAAAGATAACATGTTAATAAGATAGATTTTTTCTACAAGAATAAATGAATCTATTTCTTCTTTTTATGTTCATTGTTACTATTGAGATAATAAATATTAAAATAGGATATATATATATAATAGAGTTTATCACGGAAAATTGGCATTTTATAATAGATTAATTTTGACTATATTTTGATGAAATCATTCTATCTATATCTAAATATATATA